TTTAAGACCGCGTCTAAATAATTTACAATTCTATAATATCTTTCATTCTCTATTTTACCATTAAGGGTTGAGCATCCAAAAATCTTTAAATACTAAGATTATAATCGAAAGTTTATAGTTGTACCTTTTTATTTTTATTTTATTCTTGTTTCATTGTGTATTGATTTATTAATTAGATAGATTTATAATTTAGTATATAATGATAAATTGAAGATCTTATCTAAACAATTTACAATATTATAATATCTTTCATCCTCTATTTTTTTCATTAAGGGTTGAACATACAAAAATCCTTAAATGCTACGATTATAATCGAAAGTTTATAATAGTGCCATGAATGTTAATATAATGAAAACGTGATGAAATTCCAGCAATATTTCATATTTATTTTACTCCCTTAATGGTTGTATTGTCAAAATACTGAATTACGTGTTTCTTTAATCTCAAAGCCAAACACAATTTTTTAACTATCTACATTCTAAGGGTGAATGAGCCAGATTTTGTATAGTTGAAAATATGTATTTTCCATAATACCATAATTTCTTTAGAAAGTAATTTTTTCCTACGCAAACATTACAGCCTCATACAACACTAATGGTTAGATTTTCGAAAGATTAAAAAATGCGTGGTTATTCCATTATTTTAATGAAAATGTGATTGTACCGATTATTAAGTTAATTTATATATCATTTAATTTTCAAGTTAATGATTAATTCAACGTCCAGCGGTTTAAGCTGTGCGTTATGTTTTATATCAATATTTTTGATATAGGTAGAACCTGCACGCACCCGCGTTTTAAAAAGGGTTTGTTTTATAAAATCGCTAATTTATTTATTTCATTGACAGAATACTTTTAATTACTTGCATTTTCCAAAATAATTTATTTGTGGATGCCTACGTTATAAAGGGCAGCTACACTCCAAATTTCAGGTTTCTATGTTTAACGGTTAACGGGCTGTGCATTATAGATGGGCCAGTCACTCAGGACATACTTTATACATTTTAATAAATAATATATATATATATATATATAAAGATATTTATATAGATAGATAACGATTAATTGTACAATATAATATTTACAAGAGATTATCAGATGTAAATACTTCCATAAAACTGGTTACATGAATTCAACGATTGACAATAAAAAGTTTTGTTAACACACTTATGTGTTTGAGCTATAACTTCTTGTTTCAAAAAACTGAATAAATTTTAATAAAATATTTGAGGCTCAGTACACGTTATGAGCTTTTGGCAGTTGAGAGACATCCAACTAGTAGATATTATTATTTTGTTTGTCTACAGATTCATATAAAAGCTTTAACATAAGTAACCGTCACATTAGTGGCATCTAATTTATGTTAAAGTTTTGATGTGAATTAATATAATATTTTACAAAATATACTATTAATCAAGAAAATAAGCTTTATTTTAATTTAGCTTATTTATTTACTTTAAATTCGTATATCGAATTCTCTTGAATGTAGCTTCATAAATTATAAATATTAATCGATAGATAATGACTAAGATTAAAGACTAGAGACAAGAGAGTGTGGTATGCAAAATGATGTTGTGACGTGGACTAAGAAAGGAATGCTTCGGTGATTTGGTCATGTAGAAAGAATGAATGAGGAAAAGTCACAAAGCGGATTTACGTTGCAGAAGTGAACGTCAGAGTCGGTAAGGGACGCCCTGGGCGAAAGTTTGGCGACCACATTGGCGATCTATTGAAAAAGGGCCAAATTAAGAGTAACTTTAACCGACGCGCATGCATGCGTAGGCTTATGGATGTGGAAGAGGCAAGAGAGGTATGTCAGGATCGTGCCAAATGGAAGTCTGTAGTCTCTGCCTACCCCTCTAGATGACAGGCATGAGTGCTTATGTATGTATGTATTAAAGACCGTATTAACGTTATTTTTGTTAATTGCTTGTGGCCCAACTATTTTCATTACCTGAACTGTTACAAGTTTTGTTACAAGAAATAAATTGTTTTGTAAAGAATAATATTATGGTTCGTAAGTGTAGAAGAAAACTTTTCCGTTTTGATTGATATGTATTCTTTTGGGTCTTCACCTATGAAAGTGCCGTTTTTTATGGATTAAGTTAACGTAATTTTATTATATTATTTTATTTCTATTAATCAAAGAAATGACCCAAGCAATCGACGCATCGTTGCCAACAGTGGCAGTGGCGGTTTATTGATGCTTTTCTTGAAGAAATCATCTGGACAGGAAGCAACAAATTTTTCGAAGGCATTTTGTACTGCCTCTCGGGTATAGAATTTTCCCCATCAATAATTAATCCAAATTCTGAAAAACTAGAAGTCTGCATGTGCAAGGTCTGGTGAGTACGGTGGATGATTCCAACCCCAGCTCTTGTAAGTTGTAGTCCGTCTTTTGTGCAGTACGAGGTTGCGCGTTGTCATGCAGGAGCAGCGGAGAAGAGCGATTTACCAAAACTGGTTGGAGACGTGCGAGCTTCATTCGCGATCTCCATCATTGTGTTAAATTCTTCACAGTACACATTTGCAGTAATGCTCATCCCGTTTGACGTTTGATGAAGAATCTGTGATGAAACATACCGGCGCTAGACCACCAAACATTGAACATCACTTTTCTGGGGGTAAGTTTTCGAATAGGGCAATGTTTAGGTGCTGAACCAGTATCTAACTTACGTGCTGAGCACTTGTGATTGTCAAACAGAATCCATTATTCGTCGCAGGTAACAATGCGGTTCAAAATTCTTTTGTTTGTGTGCCTGATGAGCAGTGCAAGGCACATCTCGACGCGTTCAAGCTTTTTTACCTTTTTCAAGCTTTTTGTCAAGCTTTTCATTTGTCAATCTTTTTTGCCTTTCTGATCTGACGCTGGCTGATGAGGACGCTCAAGGTCGCTCAGCGAGCTATGGATAGGGCTATGCTCGGAGATTCTCTGCGTGATAGACTCGGAAATGAAGATATCCGCGGTAAAACCAGAGTGACCGACATAGCCCAACGGATTAGTAAGCTGAAGTGGCAATGGGCCGGCCATATAGCTCAAAAAACCGATAACCGATGGGGAAGAAAGGTTCTCGAGTGGCAGCCTCGTACCGGTAGGCGTAGTATAGAGCGACCCCCCACTAGATGGAGTGACGACTTGGTAAGATATGCAGGAAGTCGATGGATGCAGGTGGCTCAGGACCGTGCTTTGTGGCATTACTTGGGGGAGGCCTATGTTCAGCAGTTGACTTGTGAAGGGCTGTAATGATGATGATGAATGATGATCTGACGCAAATAGACAAATATTGTTTTGATGGTAACGTCGTAAGCTGTTGCTAATTCAGTCGTAGATTAGCTTCCTCAGTCGCATTTAATTCGTCATTGTCGATCAAGGTTTACGGACGACCAAACGGCTCATTTTTCAGGTCGAAATTTCAAGAACGGAAGCGGGACAACCAGTAACAAGTGGTACGTTCATTTGTAGTATACGCTCCGTCAACATCGTTGAAGTTACGTGCCGCTTGTGCCTCGTTGCTGCCATATTCCATAATTACACGAATTTTTAACGTATCCATGATAAAGAAAAAGATTCCAATGCGATGAAAATATAACTCTAATCAATAAACAAGTGACTAAATTTGAAAAAAGAATTCCATGATCCCATTTATTAGACCTATAATATAAAAAAGAGATGCAGCATTCCGTGTCAGATCGTTGCTGAAGCCGAAAACGTACCCTGAAACATATCTTTGTCGAAATATAAACATAGACAATACATAGACATAAACGCTTACGCCTGTCATCCAGAGGGGTTGGCAGAGACTACGGACTTCCATTTGCCACAAACCTGATACACCTCTCACACCTCCTTTACATCCATATCTGGTTCATCTTCAATATATTCAGATCCAGCCCTAACATACTCCTTAATTTGTACAACACACATTACAGCATTTGTACAACATTTATTCTACTCTGGTGCTTCTTCTGCCACACCCAACTTTCACTACTTTACATTAGGGTGGGGACTAACACAGCATTGTGAATTCCTACACGTGCCTTTTTTGACACGTTCTGATTTTCCACAATAGAGTGAAGAGCCCCATTTACTTAAATATAGATTTTTAAGGAACTTATCAAGAGCTTTTATGCACTTCATTCAATTTACGGAGGAATGATTTATAATGACACAATGTTTTATATGTTATTGATCATAAAATAGTATATATTTAATTATATATTAACAATTGTCATCATAATCATCAGCCTGTGACCATAGATGATTCAATTCAAGCATCCCTTGGTTTGATTGGTTATAGTTTTAGATGACTTGGACTCTCAAATAACGAGTAGTGTTCTTGAATTTTGTTATTACACCATCAAACAGTATTGACGAACTGAGACCCGTTTGTTTACCGTATTATCGACAACGCGTCATAGACTAACAGATGGCGTTGCAACCAAACAGTATAATGAGTACATGACCGACGACGATAGTGTCAAAAGTCGTAACTTATGGAACTTATCATCGATTGCTTCACAGACGAAGCGTGGCGTTTATAGCAAATCCTACCTACTATAGTAGAGGCTCAGGCAGTAAGTATCGCTTATGATCTGACAAGGAGGGGAACAACTGACAGTATTAATTCACTTAACATTTCAAAAGGGTAGTAAGTATTATTTACAATGTATTGTAGTCAAACACCGGCTTATGATAAGTTGAAAAAAGAACTAAATTTATGTTCTCTCGTTTACACCTGCTGTTTTCGTAAGGTAGCAGTTTAATCAATCCGAAATTTTTAAGTGTTTTAAAGGTGACTTAGGGTGAATGATATCAGAAAGTTCTTGCGATATCCAATATATTTACGTGTTTTAACTGGGACTGTCGTTGCAATTTGGCCTCATGTTGTGAGGCGTCTACTGCGATTACATTTCGCTCATTATCGCAGCCTTAAAATACTTAAGGATAAATGCGATTTTAAACGATGGAAATTGATTTGATTGTTCATACGTTTTAATTTTAAATGCTAAGCTGATAATTATCGAAAAATTTTGTCTTTAAAACTTTTTATTTTTATTCCGAAAAATTCGGAGTCACTTGAAAGAACTGCGTGCGAAATCGTAGAGTCTCTGAGCCAGTGTGTTATGTTGAACAGGTTATATCGGTACACTCGCTATCGTCGGCCAGCGCACGTCTGTATGGTGTAGCTGGCGGTGGTTCTTTAGCAGGGCAATCTCAAGAACGCGCAGCAAGTGCATGGCCGCCGCGAGCCGCGGTTCGTCTCGCCACGCCCAGCAGTGGAGACCAGCACGTCACAACTCTTGCTAAAGATTAATGAGCTTTCCTAGTAATTTCTGGTATTTGCAAGCGTATAAGTTAAATAAAGAAGATTTGTTTCTGTTTGTGTTATTTATCAAATGTCCGTAGTTTGAAAATTATAGCTGTATCAAAAATAATTGATTTTATTTCTAAATAAAAAAGTAATGTTCGAGGTATCTTTGTCTTCAGTGTTGATAACACATCTCGTAGGTGACTGTGTGCCACTGCATCTATTGACCATTGGGTGAACTGTATACTCCTATTTCCTCCTATTTATATAAAATAGGTAAGAGAAATTTGATTACTTGTTATTTAGACAACACCATTTGCATTTTTGTACACTCTATTCATAGTAAAATTTTTGGAAAAGTAACGATTGCAGACACCATAAATAAATTAAAAGATAGACAAATGAAACCATACAGTTTTATAATTTTGGAATTAAACACCAAGTTATTTTTAAACATACACTGACGTACAAATATTATCAATTCATTTGAACAATTATTTTTGAAATTTATAATTAACGCACATAAATACTTACCATTGTAATCATAATTACTATTATTGTAATGTAATTCCAGCTTTTACGGTTGAATTTGAGGTAGAACCAACAAAAGCTTTGCGCAATATCAATATCATGTATGTATTTACTTACAATATTATATCATAATATATTTTGTTACATATAAAGTGTATTTATTTTAGTTTCTTTTCTTTTTTTCTTTCAATTGCTACATCTACTCTACATTCCCACCACTCCAATCTTAGAGTAATTATATACACATATTATATGCATAGGGGAAACTTATGAACTACTCATATGTTCTGATTTATCAAAAAATGGCATCCCTATTGTAGTAGTATGACGTTATTTCACAACTCACAAGACGTGACGTCTTTAGCCTATAGTGATTTCGTTCGCAACGTTAGCAGTAATCGACGTCGATATAGTCGTTTTTCTTTATTTATTAATTTTTAATAACTTTATCAAACGTCTAAAAAATTAAATAGGGATGTACTTGTTATGATTCGGGCGATCAAGTTAATTGTTTCCTAAATAAATTGATGACAATTATCTTATGTTGGAAATATATGTTTATTTATTAATTTTTAATAACTTTATCAAACGTCTAAAAATTAAATAGGGATGTACTAGTTATGATTCGGGCGATCAAGTTAATTTTTTTCTAAATAAAGTGATGATAATTATCTTATGTTGGAAATATTTGTTTATTTATTAATTTTTAATAACTTTATCAAACGTCTAAAAAATTAAATAGGGATGTACTTCTTTTGATTCGGGCGATCAAGTTGTTTTCTAAATAAAGTGATGATAATTATGTTATGTTGGAAATATTTGTTTATTTATTAATTTTTAATAACTTTTTCGAACGTCAAAAAAATGAAATAGGGATGTACTTGTTATGATTCGGGCAATCAAGTTAATTGTTTTCTAAATAAAGTTATGATAATTATCTTATGTTGGAAATATTTGTTTCTCAAACTTTAAAAACTAATAGTTATTAAGGTATGAATATTATGTCTTGACGGTGACACGGTACAAGATATATTAAAAAACCAGCGAACAAAGATATATTAAACAACCAGCATTTCTAAAATTCTCTCTCGAAAACGTTGCTAGCTCTTAGACCAATTATTCGACTACGCTTTTGATGTAAGATGACAGATGAAGTTTCTTTTTATAGTAAGGGAGTGACAAACAAGCACACAGTCCACGTGATGGTAAATGGATGCTGTGACCCATAGACATCTAAATTTATCAAAATGCAGATGCATTGTCACCACTGAATACTACGATGGAATGCCACGTTTCTAGTAAAAATGGTCTCCGGTTCCCTACACACGAAACACAGCAGCATTAAGCCGCTATTTCACGCTGTTATTCTGCGAGAGCGTGGTCCTTCCCCGTTCGAGCCGACTCATTCGTGCTACAACCATAATATAGCTACATCGTAGTTTTACCACGTAAAAATATTCTTCTTTCTATTAAAGTTCGTTGATATTAACAAGTATTACGAATCGGATAGACTAAACGTATTTATCGACCACGTTTTTCGTTTCGCTAATGGCACTTCAATAGAGGTGTCTATGAAATGGAAAATCGACAAAGACCTTGTAAAAGAAAAACGTGAGAACGGATAAGAATATTTTTTTTTTCAATAAAGATTACATGTAATTCTTATTGAAAGTTATTTTTTACTTTACCAACATATGATTGATGCAAATGGTTTAGAACATTGGCTTGTGGCTATTTTGAATTTTGTTGACTTATATTGTTAAGCTATGGGTTTCAATTATGATGATACGAACGATGATATGTATATTCTGATGTCTTATGACAGAAGAGGTACGTATTATGCTGGTGTATTTTTTTATAGGATATGGTGAAAAACGAGCCACACCGTCCATCTGATGGTAAGTGGTTGCTGCGGCCCGTAGACATCTACATCTATCCTCGATTACGAATCAAAATGCAGATGCGTTGTTACTCGTGAGGACTAAGATGGACTGCCACGTTTCTAGTAAAAAGTGTCTCCGTTTCTGTACACTTACCATACGAAACACAGCAGCATTGAGCTACTATTTTATGCTGGTATTCTGTGAGAGCGTGGTATCACCGACCCATTCGTGCTACAACTATACTACTAATATAACTTCAGCATGGCTACCACGTATAAAATAAGAAAAATATAGTTTTAGCAAATCTACCAAACAGAACCAAAATCGATTCTATTAACATTGGTAACTTGTTAGACAAGGACACGTTACTACTGTAATCTTTACCAACATAATTTAATATGGCTGCAAATAATATAGATATCGTATTTTGTATCACGTAAAACTTTATATGCTTATAAAGTTCAAATACAAGAATTTTGTTCTTATTTTAGAATTCTCTCTAAGCTAGTTTGGAATATTTGTTTATTGATTCTACACCAATAAAATATTATTATTGACTTTTTTATATTCTTAATTTTAAACTTTTAGCGATTATTATATTCTAATACTTATGTAAAACTATGAATATATTTTATAATATATCGGTTTAATGTGTCATATCTCTATCAAAACATACATATACTGCTTTCGAAATGTCTTGAGACATAGACATTCTTTTTTAAAGATTATTGTCAGTATCAGTATTCACAACCAACACTTTACAAAATCCAATAAATTATGTAATTATTATATATATATATATATATATATATATATATATATATATATATATATATATCTAATTAATACGAACAATATGTGCAGAATAAAAACCTTTTAATAATTTTATGTACGAATTTACCAAAAAGTGTATCTCATCATCATCATCATTACAGCCCTTCATAAGTCCACTAATGAACATAGCTCTCCCCCAAAACAAATGCCACTTAGACAGCCCGGAGCCACCTGCATCCATCGACTTCCTGCATGTTTTACCAGGTTGTCACTCCATCTAGTATTAGGCCACCCCAAACTTTCCCTACCAGTACGAGGCTGTTACTCGAGAAACTTTCATCGCCATCGGTTGTCGGGTCTTCGGGCTATATTACAGTGGTAGAGCCTATAAGAGTAGTAGAGCCATGCGGCAGCTTTAGCTATTGCACGTATTGACCAGTGTGAAGTAGAAGCTCTGCTTCTGGATTTCGTCATGTGACTGCAGGTGGTCGGAGGACCAATTAGCCAAAATTTGCATTTTTATATTTTGTTCATTATTCTGACAGCATTTTATTTTTGATTTAAACAGTTTTCTATTTTCTTTAATTTTTTCGTAATAAGGTCCAATTTTAGATTTTCCATATAATACCCACATATGAAAGCAAATTCGACCGTCACTGCGAAATGGTCTAACATATTTATCCCTATTACTCATGAGTCGCAATTGCCGCCCCTCTCAAAGTACATACAATTATTTCATACATTTTATTGGTTATTAATTTATGTTCTAAACTAGAACAGTGGCGATTAGCAGAAGACCTAAACTCTTCAGGAAAATCTATGTATCTAAGTTTTCCACAACAAATTTCAAAACATTTATTTATTTGACTTTGGTTTCTTACACCCCACACAACTTTATCAGATATAAGAATACATTCTTGTGCTTTATAACTCAGTTTTTCCATATCAATAGTAGTAGTAAAGTGAAAAGTTGTCAGACCAGAAAATATCAGAAAGTACCCTAATATTTACAACAGATTTCATAACTGACTTAGTTGTAATGCAATAGTCCAGTCAGCGATGAAAACCATTTATATCACTCATATAGGTAAACGTTCGTAGTCCACTACATAATACATTTGTTCACAACAAAAATTATTCATTTTGTTAAAAACAATTCGCCAAGATGCGCATTAAAATCTCCTAATTTAAATACAAAATCCATATTATTACATTCTATTATAGCATTTATTTCACTAAAACAGCTTGTAAATTAGGATAAATTGACCCACGAGTCACAGGGCATATATACTGATGAATAATTTCGTCCTGTCGTTCACAACAGTTTTAATCGCAGCCAAACGCAATGAGTTACACTGCACAATGGACACTGATGTAAACAAAGATTTACGCCACATAATGGCACACCACCGCAATATTAATTAATAATATTTATTGATTAACCACCTTTATGTAACTTTGATGTACATTGTTATACGATTTGATTCCATCTCGATTATGCACTCAAAGGGATTAGGCAACAAATACCCTGAATACGTGATTACATACTCAGCTTTATACTGTAGGCATGGGAGGACTGTAGATTAATAAATAGACATTTAGTCAATTTTCTAGTATATAGAGTATATAGATCGAGTATATAAATTTTATTTTGATTAAATCGCTATTGGGTCAGTACTTCTCAGCAGTTATATAAATATATATATATATATATATATATATATATATATATATATATATATATATATATATATATATATATATATATATATATATATATATATATATATATAGGTACATAATTATGTAGCCCTTTCT